AATTTGTAATAGTTTAGTTTTCATTGTAAAAATTATTTTTCATAAAAGGTTTTAAAATAAATCTAAGATACTAAAATTTTATATTATTTTCATTACTCATCATTACAGAATTTTAATTAGTCATCAGTTCTATTTTTAATCATAATACCTCACTGTTTTATTATCATTATTAAGAGTATAATAATATGTATTATATTATATGTACACTATTTAATACCTCTTTCTTTTTTATGAAAAAAACCATTTCTAAAATGTATATAATTTAAAAATTTTTAATAAATATCTAAATAAGAAATTCAAAATTAGAAATTATAAAGAGAAATACAATTTTTACAAATATTTATTATGTTTTTAAACATTGAGCTAATAAATTGTTTAACATTAATTATTAATACAAGAAAAATATTACTTTAATAATATGAAACAAATAATAAATGAAGTAATTTTAAGAAATACTAAAGCAATAAAAATTCACAAATATTCAAATATAACACAAATATAAAAATTCTTTTTACTTTTTAATAATTATTGCTTAAAATGTTTAAAAATGCTTGTTTAAAAAGTTATATGTAAATATAATTATCTTTTAGATAACAAAATTATTAGCAATTTTAATAAAAATGTTATTTTTTTCATACTTTAATATTTTATTTGAATTATATTTTCATAATTATATTGATATTTAAAAAAATATATTATTTTTTTATTAATATATTATTATAATATATATTAATTATAATATTTATTTGAAAATAAAAAGATATGTGCAACATTTTTAATTTGAATAATGAAAAATATTATGTTAATAAAGAATCAAACAATATAAAAACGTATATTTTACTTGTCAAAAAAATAAAAAATGTACAGCTTAATATTCATATATATTATTAAATAAAAATATGAAAAATATATAATAAATATATTAATAACTTACATTATGGTTATTCATTTCCAATTCTTAAAAAATGTAATGAAAATCACAATAAAAGAATTATACACTTTACACCAGACATTTTCTTAAATTTCGATCAATCGCTTTAATCATTTGAGAGATTTCGATTATTCGAGATATCGTTTAATTTTTATATAATCGTATTTCACTTCACTTCAATTTTCTTCATTATGTCAATGCATTCATTAAATTTAAATCTTTGTTTCTTTGATTAGTAATTTTATTATCAGATATATTTCATTATACATTTACAATCTTCAATAAACTTTTACAAATGCAATAATGTTGACGAGAATACCGAACTTACGAATAAATCGAGTCCTTCCTGTCTACACAGCTATTCTCGATACACGGTATATTCTTACAAAGTACATATTCGTTTAACAAAAATCTTCTTATTATAGAGCTTCAAGAACGTAGTGATTGTACGACGTCATTTTTGCACACAGCGGAGCATAAAGAACTACTACTTTGAATAGAGTCGTATCAACGGTTTCTTATTGTTAATTTTAAGTAACTGTCACGTTAGAAACGTAGAGCTTATCTATATACTCGTTCACCTATGGGAATGTAGTACCAGATCAAAAGAAAAAAAAAAGAAAATCTATCAGATTTTTTCAAAAAATTGTTTCAGTTTTTGATATCTGATATGCTAATTTTGAATACAAAATCTTAGTACAAATGTTTATACATTTTTGCTAACACTACCTATAAATCAATATAAAAGAAAACAATAATTTTTTAAATAAAATATTAGTGAAAATAGTTAAAAAAAAATGTGCGCGTAGCACAACGTTCCTTGATGAAAGATGATAAAAAAATATATATCATACACAACCATCTAAGCACGACAAAATTTGTCATATTTCAATATTACTGAATATCTAAAAAATATTATATTATCCAGTTCGATTTCGCGCCTACTTTATATGTATATATATATATATAATAATATATATATATTTATGTCTACTATGGTTTACAATGACAAAAAATATGACGCTTAAAAGATATTCGAAATGATTGAATTATATCAAGCTGAGCATTTTCTGTTATCATGCTTTAAAAGCATTGACTGCTCTTTATTATATAGTGTTAGGTCTACTGTAGATGAAGAATGTATTTATTGTACAAATGTTCAGCAAAAATGCATGTTTTACGAATACGATTAACAAGTGATAAAAATATTGGGTCAGTATGTAAAGGTAGACATTTATTTTTATACCTTTACTTCTGCACTGTAGGATTGAAAACAAATATTAATACAACTTTTTCGCCTGTGCTTCTTTATTGTCCCTGTAAACAAAAAGATTAATTTGAGTTGTATACATTATGAACATATCATACATTATATAGCGAGATAAATATTTACCGGTACGTGCTATATGCTAATAAAATTATCATTTGAATTGCCACAAAAAGTAAGAACATTGTTGTTGTTAAACAATTCGTTGTTGGACAATCTGTTCCTCCACTGTTTATTTTAGTATTTAGTTGAGTGATATCTCTTTTTAGTGTATTAAGTCCGTCTCTCATTTCCGAAATAAGAGAATGATAATCATATCCCATTTGCTGTACCTAAACAATAATAATTTTTAACATATATAAGTTAAGAAAAACTAATAAAATCAAATATCAATAGACACCTGAGCAGTTGGAGCTCTGGCCTGGTTACTAAGAATGGTATCAGCTTTGGAATATACTTCATTTACGTAGGACTTAATTTCTCTTGCAGTATTTAATATATTATTTTGGTTGTTTAAAAGAGTATCGACTTCCTGCCGGCGAATTGTATCAATCAGCTGTACTTGTTGTCCTGGTTGACCTCCTACTTGCACACCTATTTTTTTCATATTTAAGTTCTCTCTATATATTTATATTCTGATATTGATATTAATTAACTGAAAGAAACTTTACCACCAACTTGAATTTGAGATATTAAACTTAAGGATCGTTCTTGTGTTCCTACTATGTTGTCCAATTTCTTGTTTAATTCGCGTAGCGCATCAAACATTTGACTTTGGCCAGAGAAAATTTGTCGCAACTCTCTTTGATTATCAGTTTCAAAATATTCTTCGAATTCTTCTTTTTCACGATGTTCATCTGGATGATCTCTAAAATTAAATTACTTTAAAAACAAATTTCATACATTAAATATGCATTTAAAGTCAATACAATACAATATTACCTGCGATATTCTTCTTTCCTTTGTTCTAATTTTTTCTGATAGTCCATATATTCCTGACTAAGCTTTTGTTGTTCTTCCAAAGATACTTTTTGATCTGGCCTCAATTGACCAGGAGGATATAGAGAATGTGTTAAGAAATGAGAAACGTCATGATCATCAGCCAAACCACCTAAATGAAATATTATTATAAAACAAATTAATTATATTAAAATAAAAATTAAATTGATATTTATTATATAATAAATACCAGTTGCAGCCGAAACACCAAAAAAATCCTCCTTTTGGTAGAAAAACATCATCAACTTGGAAACATGTTTCATAATCTTGTTCATTATTTGTCATACCATTATGGAATAACAACTATAATTAAAAATAAAAATAAAAATAAATAAATAAAAATAAATAAAAATAAAAAATTATATAATAAATATATATATATTTAAATTTCTTATTTTATATATATACACTTACTGTTAAGGTGTTCTTATAATATTCAATTTTGGCTCTTGTAGCAAATGGCTTATTACGAAAATCTCTCAAACAACCAGCACATAACTGTGTGGTACCATCACTATATTAAATTCAAAGTAAAGCATCATTTTTTGAAAATATTGAACACTAAAAAATTATAGTAAAAATTATAATTTACTTAGCATGATCAAATGTTTTTGTGCCATCATTGAGAACTGCCATAATGTAGGGGTTATTGTGTTTATTGTCATTGTCAAAGGAATCAAAGAAAATTCCAAGACCATGCCATTGATCAGAGCTACCAAAGACAGTGCCATTATATGCACCCTTTTCATTGGTATACCAAAATGCTAAACCATCTGCTCCAATTCTTCCTCTCCCTGTTATTCTAAATATTAATTCAACTTCCCACCATTCAAAGGATGTAACAGGATGTTTTGCCCATATAGCACCTACAGATATTTTTAATTTTTATTATTTATAAAAGAATATAAATATACATTGTTAATAAAATATATTAATATATGTTTAATATATAAATTTTGCATATTATAAATATTATAGTTTAAAATATCTTTATATACATTAAGAAATAACCTTTATTATAATTAATTAATGATCATAAAGAAGAAGAATAGAAATTATAATGTAAAATAAATTTTTTACATACCTTTTTGACTTCTCAATGATGGAGCTACTCTAACATTTTCTGCGCTAGCAATTGCATCTGAAATAAAAATTACATTTTTATGAATGATTAAATGACAAGAAATTACATATAAAAAAAAGAAAATAAAATATAAATTCATAAATGCATTAATTATTTTGTATATATTATGATAAAATAATAAATTTTAATTTTTGTATGTAACAATTATCTTAGATAATTAATATTGTTTAAATTTTTAGAATAAATTGAATAAGAACTTCAAATGTAAATAAAAACATATATTATGACATATTTATTATGATAATTTTGTAAAATTTTATCAAGTAAATATTATCGTTTTAATATGTGAAAATACTTACAAAGATGAAATACGAATGAAATTAATATTTGTAAACAAAATAATAATGCATTTTAAATAAATAATCAAAAAGCCGACAGTAAGAAAAGAACATACGGCAATATTTTATGACACGCGTAATTGGTTAGGTTTCGAGTTTACTTACTTCCTCCATATTCCCAAAAAGGCACACTTCCATCTTTTTGTGCAAGATATGGTGGCTTAAATGAGTATTTATATTCGAATTTTCGATGGGGTATCTCACCAAAAACGGCATAAATTATAGAAAACACATGAAAAATTAAAAGCCACCTCACCTCGGCGGCCATCTTCATTTCGACTGTTGAATCGAAAGTAGATTGACCGTAGTCGACCCTATAACCAGTTAAAACGATTGGTAGTATCCTTTAAATTCTCCTTTTGATTGGTGTATTATCAATGACGTGTCAATTTCATGGCCACATTTCAAAGGTTTTATCTTCCACATTTTATATTATATTACTGATACATAATCTTTTATTGACATATGCTTTATTTAATTCAATTAAAAGTTAATTATTTGACAAATATTTGGTGATTTTTTATTATGAATTTCATGTGTTAAATATATGTTCGTTCCCATTTGAAGACGTGTCATATAAAAACATGGCGTTATCATAAATAAAATGTCAAATAGATTTAGCAATTAATTTTATGAATTATGAAATTTTTTTATTAATTATTAATGAATTATATAAAAAATTTTCAATTTTACAAAAAATAGTTTTAAAAATTATCGGTATGTAAAATTTTGCGATAATTTATACTTAGATATAAATACTTTAGACAACATAATCCAGATTTGTTTTTGTTGCGGAATAAAAATAATGTATAATATAATAAATAAATATGAAATATGTTAAAAATTTTTAATAAAATATCCCATAAATCTACTTTTATAGTTTAATTTTATTACTCTCATTATTTATATTTCCTACAAAGTGAAATTAATATATATTTCATTGTTGCAAATAAAGTGAAAGTTTTTAAAATTTTTACTATATTATTGATAAAATTTATTTATTCTTTTATTCAATTATACATATATAGTATATTTTTAAATTGATACATTTCAATATGTATCATTTATTTTTAATAAATTAAATTTACATTAATAAAATATACAGATATAAGTATTTTAATAAAAATATATCTAAATGTATCAAAAAAAAAAAATGAAAAAACAATATGTTTCAAAAAATTAATATAAAATAATCTTTATTTTCTATTTGAACAAAGAAAACATGAATCACGATCATCTGTTAATATGTAACTGATAAAATATTTTTATTTTCTATGTAAAATATTATTGTAAAATATAACGATGTATAATATATTTTTTCTATTAGCTGATTTCAGAATGTAACTTGTATATGTTATTCTACATATATGCATATATAACAAACATTAACTTTTCCATTTACTCGTCTCCAATGGAAATACGTTCAAGATGGCGTCACTCATTGACAACTATGAGCAACAATACGCCGTTTTGACAGCTGACATTACTGCAAAAATTGGTAGAATAAGAACACAAAACGGCAGTAAGTATTAGAAAAGTAGAATGATAATGATTTCTTTATTACAGAGCACGGATCGTTATTTTTGAAGTATATTTTCTATTCTCTGGCATTATTAAACAACAATAATCGATACACGTGACGTAATTTACAGGTGAGAAAAGAGCGTTCATTCAAGATGTGGATAGACAAATCGAGGAGGCTCAAGAATTGGTAAAATGAAATACTTACTTTTCTTTTCTTTTAAAGTACTTTTAACAAATTAGAATTTATATTGTATAAAGTTTTAGAATGTTTATATCTTTTATTTTGGGGTTAGAAATGACATATTTTATTTGATTTTTTTCTCGTTATAAATATAAAACAAATAGTAATAAATTAAGATAAAAAAATTTTATATCTTAATATTATTGTATAAAATTTATATTATTTATCATTATTCTATTTGTAGCTTGAGCAAATGGAATTGGAAGTTCGTGGGATAAATGGTGCAGCTCGCGACCGATTACGTGGTCGAGTAGAGAGTCATAGAGCAGAATTAAAACGATTGACACAAGAATTTCATTCAGCCAAAAAATCAAAAGATGAAAGTATTGAAATAAGCAGAGAAGATTCATGGGAGAATAATATTACAGAAGATCAGAAAAAAAGATTGTTAGATACTTCAGAACGAATAGACCGTACAGGAAGAACCTTACAAAATGGATATCGTATGGTATTAGAAACAGAAGAAATTGGTTCTCAAGTATTGAAAGAGTTACACGAGCAAAGGGAACAATTCAAAGGGGAAGAGGAAGAGTAAGGCATTAATTTTAATTAATATAATACATTTTTTCAAACTTTTATACATAAATTATTTCGGTATTGTGTAAATAATTATATTATTATGATTAATAATATTGAATAATCTTTTATTTTGTTTTAGTTAAGAGACACAGATGCAGAATTGGGCCGTGGTTCACGTTTACTCTCAGGAATGATTTTTAGAAGTCTTCAGCAAAGAATTATTTTAGCATTAGTAGCATTAACGCTTATAATTGTTGCTTGTGTTGTCATGTATTATAGCTTTAAATCTAAAAGCTAAAGATGAGAGTAGAATGAATCTTTCGGTTGGGATATTGGCTCAGGAGCCATATTAAATTTCACTGCATTTCAGGTATTATGATTATTGAATACAATGTTTATTAGGGGATTATTAAATTATAAATTGAAGGAATGTTATAATATATCATATCCTTTTATTAATCTTTTCACTTGTTTGGAGCATTTAATATCATTATAATTTAAGCATTTTAAAGCTCACAAATCTTAACTAATAATTTCATATAATATAGATATATGACTACACAACAAGAGACGCTTAAATATGACAGAATGCCACCAAACAGTGAAGAAATATTCTAATATATTATTAGTAATAATAAAAAAATTCAGCTGTCGAACGGTATTGTCAGTGAGCATTGTTCACAAGCAGAATTTATTAAAATGTTTGAAAATATTTGAGATTATCTTTATTATTTTTCAAATTGTCCGTTTTTGCAATCAATTTATTATGTGAACCTCAAATTTTGTTTTACATATCGCAATCGATTGCATTTTACGGAAACGAATAATATACATATCTTAAAGTATTAAATTATAATTCAAAATTTAATTAATTACTGTTATCAATAAAAATATACATCTATCATGTACCATTAAGTGAATCGTAAAAGCGATAAAATAATTTGTATCAAAATACAAGGATGGGATAACGAAGAAGATTGTAAATATACGTGACAAGTATCGAAAAATGATTATAGTCAAGAGAAAACGAGACGCCTAATAATAATTCATTTTATTATAACATTATCAATATTTTAATAATCTAAACGATGTTTTCTTTTTATTCTTTCTTGCGTCGCTATATATGTAATCATGAAAAAAATGATATAATAAAAGTATCGCGGAATAATAAATATTCTGATGATTTCTTTGTAAATGCGACGCAAACACGCCTCGATTCTTCTTCGTGTTTTTGTATCTGATGCTAATGAGAACAGAATCAAAATCGATGCTCAGTCTGATCAGTCCAAATGTCGATAGAGATCTTCTATCTGTGGCTTGAAGTAATCTTTTAACTGAGGTCGTTTCATTTTCAATGACGGTGTGAGCAGACCATTTTGTATAGAGAACGGATCTGGATGTAAATAAATATCTTTCACCTGTAATATAAACGTTGTCTCCAAATGTAGAACTGTATTCACATCTTCTAATTTTAAAATGTTTCTTAATTATCAATAAGACTGATAAATTAATCTTATTTTATGATTTTCTTCCTTTCGATATTAATAATGAAAAATATATTTATAAATGATTTAAAAGAATGAAACGAAAAAATGTTTTCTAAATTATAATATTGAAAGATTTGATTTCTCTTACCTGTTCGAAAGACTTGAGACCGGCTTCTTTTCCCCATGAAAGCATATCATCCATAATTAATTGTTTGACTTGCGGATTAGCACATAATACGCTCAACGTTCCTGGTATACCGTTCTCCACTGCCCAACATTTTACCACATCTACGTCCGGTATTACTATTCCTACAACGCACGATTTCAGGGATTCCCCGTGGACGAACACTTGATGAACGTATTGACTGCGTAAATAAATATTCTCAATTTTCTCTGGAACTATGTATTCTCCTTGCGAAAGCTTGAAGGTGTGTTTCCTTCGATCGATTATTTTAAGTGTTCCATTCTGTGAACAAAATAAGAATTATAATTATTAACTTTTATTTTTATTTTCTATTTTTTTTTAAAAAAAGTATAAATTAATTAAATGAAAAATTTAATAATAAACCAATGCAGCAAAAATGAAAGTTTTTAAAGATTTTTTACAATCTAAAAAGAAGAAAAATAAACTTTAATTGGAATTTTTTTATATCATTATTATTCATAAAATTTTATAAATAGACATAAAATTTATGATTTATATATATCATTTCTAATTGTAAAAATTTAGATTGAAAAGTTATCAAGTTTTAATTCAGAAATAATATTCTTACATAATTTTTAAAATAAAAAAATATGTTTAACAATATCTTTTTTCTCTTACAGGTAACCACATGCCAACGTCACCGGTATGATGCCAACCGAATTCATCGATAGCTTGGGCTGTTCTTTCCGGATCTTTAAAGTAGCCCACGAACACGTTGGTGCCTTTTACGCACACTTCACCTTGGTTCTTCTTCGCATAGTATTCCATTTCCGGAACGTCTACCAATTTAATGCAACAACAGGGGACTGGTGGCCCTACGTGTTCCGGTACATGATCACCCTGTAATAATAATGCAAAAACGTTAACATAAAGTTCAGATTTCTATCATCGAATACGAGATTCACATTTACGATATTTTTATTTTTAATATTGTACTATTGTACTTTCGAACGAAAGATACATTCAAAAATAAAATCCTTCATAATTATTCGAAAAATTTACTACGAATAATATTATTGTATTTATCCGATTTATACACATTACATAAAAACATTGTTTCGCAAAAGGAAAAATCTAAAATCCTGATTGAAATAAATCGGTGTATCAATTGACCGATTCAAAGATGCAATATTTGACAGTAATCATAGGTATTTACACTGTTGACGTGGCTTACCACGTGGTTTGGCGCATGGTTGCAATATTTTTTCTTGTCGATCAGCTCAATGTCTATATACTTATGCCCGTGTATAAATAATAGCTAGTTTCGTCTAGCTACATACATCGATATTTGCAAATATGCCAAAAATAGCGAGTATGCATATCACTTGATCGTTAGTCAGTCCACGATTAAAATCGAATGATCTCATCGCATGTGTTGTGAACACTTTACCATTGTTCTCCGATTTATTATTCGATTAGGTATTCGTTTAGATTCTACTTATATTTCCTTTATTGCTTTGCCTAATAATAGATTTCATTCTTCATGTAATTTTAGCACATTAATTTATGGTTTAAATAAAGGTTATTATTTCTGAATTTCTTTTAAATAACTATATATACTGAATTTAATATAATTAAAATTATTCTTATTAAAATATGTTAAGTTAATGACAATTAATAAAGTTTATTAGCTAAAATTATGTTTTAATATCGAATGTTTAATTATTGGTATTTTATTAACTTGTAATCTATTTTTAAAAAAATACTGTTATTGAAATATATTTTATTATAATTAAAATAATGTGATTTAATTTAATTCCATTAAAGTATTATTAACATTTATTGCTTTTATCCATCAAAATTAAAAATAATACATAATCAATCATAATATTTTTATTATATGAAAGACAATGGATTAATATCATTAATCTTTGCGTGTAATTTATTTGTTTAATACAATATGATTTATTGTTCTAACTCACTGAAGACTATAGCCCATGATTTAAGCTCGGCCGGCTGCAAAGCGATTTATTTACGGAGCGTTTATTGACCGGCTTCTTCGTCAGATAAATGTAACTATGTATCAATTTCGAGTTGAAACGTTTGTTAACACACACTAAACTTACTCCTTTCTTTGAATTCGTCATACGTATAATGTTACTTGAATAAGAACAACGAGCATACTCAAGCATAATTCAATGTCTTTATATAAATGTCGGATACGTTTAACTTTTGAAAACTACTGACAAATATACAGGATATGTTAATATATTTCTTTGAAGGATTAGATTCCCAAACGCAAAAAAAACTGGTATATAAAAATGTCAATTGAAGCTTAGCTTTTTAAAATAAGCAATTTAAGTTTACATTAAATACCACGCATGTAAAATATTATTCTTGAGAAAAATAAAAAATATTTTCTGATTTTTCTTTTTCAATATAAAATATCAAATTTTGAAAATTAGAAATTGAATTTCATAAGATATCAATTCATATCACCTGCATTACTAATAATATAAGATTGAATGATAATCTCAATTGATAAGATAGTATAAACAATTTTATAAGATGCATATATTTGTTATCATTTCATTTGTTCAAATATTTCTGTAGAACAACATTCGTATTTTATCTTATAATAGCTATTATCATCATCATCATGCATATAATCTTTTGTTTTAGAAAGGAAAGTGTACTTCTTCTCAACACAAGAGGAAAGAAAAAAATGTATTAATCATCATTTCAATTAAATTCTAACCTGAACGGTAAGAGTGATCGGTGCACAACATTCAGTCTGGCCGTATCCTTCCACGATCAAACATCCCAGTGCACATCTGGTGAATGTGAGAACGTTTCCCGCCAAAGGTGCGGAACCAACGACCATCAGCCTCACCCTCCCTCCCGTTGACTCCTTGATCTTGCTGAACACCAGTTTATCCCATATGCTGTTGTTCCTGATTATCCCTTTCTTGATTTCTGCCTCCTTCGCCCGCATCCCCAGGCTGAATACCAGCTTTTTCAAGCACGAGTTTTGAAGTTCAGTTTGGATCTGCAAAATGCCGATCGATGACTATGCAAGCTATATTTAAAGCGTCTGATCGAACGAACAAGCTTAGTGGCTTTATTTTCGCTGGCAACGAACGGGTGAACGAATTACGATAGAACTTTATTTATCTAAAGTTTATTTATTGGAATTTTAGTCGGTGTCCGATTAAATGAATTCCTATGGATTGAGTTCATTTGTAAACTTTGAAAATTGATTTCGACAGATCTCTATTTATTCGAACGGAATTTCCATTTTTATCTATATTTCGATTTTATTCGATCCAATCGTGTTTATATAAACACGAATTCGCCAAATAATTATCATTTAATTTTGAGATATAGTTAGTGGATGTTGAAACGATTCTCGTTTTCCAGAAGAAAAACTCTTTGAAATGATTTTTGGTATTCTTTGGAATACCAAGTTGAAGTTGAAAATTGATTTTTTCATTGTTTCTTTCAATTGTAAATCTAATCCAATTATTAGATTTGTTTATAATATTTTTTATTATATAAAAATTTAATTTCTGACTTTTGTGCTTTTTATAAATAGTACATTCGAGATCTATTTTAGAAAGACTTATTTTTGAATATTAACTGTACGTGAGCGGATGATTTCCTTGAGGAGAAGCTGTTTACTAATATCAACGAGTTATATACAGACTTGTGGTATATACTTCTAGAGTACTCTATTTGAATAGTTTGTTGATTTTATGCAATAAGATTTATGGATCGTAGAAATTTTATGTAGGATTTGCTATAAAATTGAAATGTAATATACAATTTTTGGAAGAATTAATATAGCCTTATTGAAATTGTGTGAATAATATATGAAAAAAAAAGAAAGAAGAAGAAATAAAAGAATATTATATAGCAAATATTTTATTAACCATTAAGGAAAAAAAATATTAATTTTAAAATAATAAATATTAAAAGATCGATATATTTTCTATCCAAATTTGAAAAGATTTACATATGTTAAAATCATAGGAAAATATTGAGTGTTTACTAGTTAATAAAGTGGATTTTCAGGTGCTG